CCCTACCTAATATTTAATTGTGTGCTTGTTAGTTACTGGGGATGACTTTATTCATAGTTATGATCTGCTACATCTTTTGTTTTCAACAACCGATCCCTTTGCTCTCATATTGTGAGAAAAATTTACCTCTATTATCCCTAATTCCCCACCTCCCACCATAATTGAATTATAATCTCCATGAGAGCAGGATTGTGTCTGTCTTGCTCATGCCTATATCCCAATCCGTTATGCATAGTAGATGCTCAGCATTTACTGTGGAGTGAGTGACTGGATTGAAGCAGGATCCTCTTTTCAATGCCCTGTAAAGGCAGAAAGGGAAGGGACCTGCCTAAGGAAGCTGCACGCACTGTCCCAAGAGAGCAATATTATTTCAGCTCAGCTTGGGAAAATCACCTCCATATTGATTTTTCACCTACCCGTGTGAGGCTCTTATGAGTCCTTGAGTAAATAACAACAGTCTAAAGTGTTCTATTCATTAAAAAAAATGAAGAAGCAAGGAAGTCATCATTTGAGTTAAGGCCGTTGGTGTGGTGGTTAATAGACATTGGAGCAAGACAATCTGGGTTCAAATCTTTAGCCTGCCATTTGCTAGCAGCATGACATTGGGGAAATTGTTTAATGTCTATGTGCTCCAGTTTCATCACTTCTCAATGGGGAGACCTACCTCATAGGGTGTTGTGAGGATAAATGAGTTAATGTAGCTGAAGTGCTTAGAACAACTTCTGATTCATGAAAAGTACTGTGCAGGCATTCTCTGTTTACTCCAAAGAAGCCAGCCAGCAGGCCTGAAGGACTGGATGAGCAGAGATTATTACCATGCTCTCCCAACAACTAGCTATGAGTGCTAGTTTTAACATCTCAAGGTATCTGTCTTCTCATCTGTCAGATAAGGGTTTAGGCCCGTAAAAAAGGGGCTTCTGTATTTCAAATCCTATAACAATTTACCTAGCCCTCTACTCCTTCCCTTCTCAAATGGAAATGTACAGGGCTACTGCAAAGATCAAATTGAATAATGAATGTATAAGCATCACACAAATGCAAAGCAAATGTAATGTTGGCTTTTAGTGTCAACGTTGGGTGTATTTAATATTATATTCACTATGAAATCGTTTTAATATTAATTTACAAATC